TGCCCAGTCTTGGTAGCGTTTGAGCTCTTTCAGGCATTGCATCAGGGGTTGGTAGGTTGCTTACCCTTCTTTTGGTGCTCTGCGATTTTGTTTAACTTGAGAATTCCCAGAGGCGTTCTGTAGTAGAGCTGTCACAGAGAACATAAACTGGTGAGGAACAGAAGTTTTTGCAAGTGTCAAGTCCTTCTTCTCTACACCAGCAGGAATCTTATCACTTGACCTGGTTTTCCAGGTTTACTACGTATCTGATATAGCAGGTTTTTTTGTTGCTGTTCTTGCATGTAACGTGAGCTTCCATTCTTGCCTGGCTCTTGGACAATTTCTTCTTTGCCTGCTTCCAAATCAGTTAGCAGTGTTGCCTTCGACAGTTTGAGATTACTGCCAATGAATAGCTGTTAATTAAAAAAAGAATATTAGATATTAGTTTGGGGCTTATTGGTTTGTCTTTTCCCTGTATTTCTACTTTCTGGATATATTTTAACTACCCGTCTGGCTGTTCTCTCACTGTTTACTGACAATATGTCAGGAAATGTGACTCAGTATAACCAGGCAAGTTGCAGCATTAAGCGAAGTACTGAGCATCTTTTGTGCGGGTCTTGGTTTCAGTCATGAAGGGATATGACTTAGTTAAGAATCCTATTTACATACGTATACCCTCCTTCCCCTTCGCCAACTTTTTCTGTGAAAGTACAGAGACCAAGGGGAAGTTCCAAGGTAAGAAAATCTGTGTGAAAATCACAGTACTCTCTAGGACAGGGTGGGAACGCCCTTTTCACCTTCCTTTTTGAGTTCCTGAGGCTGCCCAGAGGAAACTTCCTTTTTGAATGTTAAGTCTGTCCCTGTTGGCACTGAAACAGAAAACAGACAACTGACCTGTTTCTGCAGGAGTGCCTTCCTTGCAATGTACACTTTAGGACATTCCTAACTGAACTGTAAGCCTGACAGCTTCAAAAACCCTGTGAGAATTTTAATGTGACTGTCAGTACAGCAGTGCAGACGAAGTGGCAGTGCTAACTTTATTTGAAAAGGGGCGACAAGAATGAAGATTACAGGTATGACTTGAGTGGCAAGTTTTGCTTAGTCAGAGATAAAAGGTTGATGCGAAGGACAAAGGGCAAAAACTTCAGGATGGTGTAGCTGTAATCTGTCCCAGCTGAAGAAGAATAGCAATTCCCAGCAGAAGTGTGGAAACCCCTCACAGTGAAGGTGGTAGCAGGGAGCTTGTGTGTCCGTTTGTCATGCTGACATTTAAGAAATCATTCACATATTTCTTCAACAATTCATGGAAAAATCACTCTGCATTTCTTTAAGGATTTCAGTCTCAAATGCCTGTCATTACTGCTGAGCTGAGAACACATACACAAATCCAGCTGTTGCTGAGGATGCCAGTTTTCGTAGTCTTCCTTTTGCCTCATGTGTTATGTGCTTCCTTTTTTGAGTGTTTAAACAATATCCTGTTTTCTTGAAGTTGGGAGATATAAATATTTCTTCCATTGTTAAAGCAAGTAAAAATAATCTTGCATACCTTTTCCAGTTTTGATGTTTTAGTTCCATTTTCAGCTGATGTAGAGAATTTGTCATCCAGAGAAACTTTCCCCAGATACCAGGTGTGGCTGTTCAGACTTAAACTGTACAGTCTTGTTGCTGCTTACTTAAATTAAATCAGCCGTACTAAATTGAGCCAAACCATTTGACTTCACAGCTCTTCCTTCTACATTTAGAATGAAGCATATTTGTAGAGCTGGAATAAATATGATTTTTCCAGTGAGTTCCTGGCTGGATGGTGTTGTTATATGGTTACAGAGCTGTCTTTAGTGCTAAGATTTGAGAGGAATTAATTTCTTTACTAATTTTTCAGATGTTTATAAAACCTCAATGGTGTCAATCTCAATTTTCTTTTAGTATTTTTTTCTCCATTTGGTGGTTACAGGACAAATATCTTGTGGATAAATGTTCTTTTATATAATTCTTTTTTTTTTAATTGTAACTTCATCATAAAGGACAATTATTAAATACCTGTTGAATTCTGTCTTTTGATTGACCCTTATTTGTGTTTCCTTTGGTAGGAATGTATCTTCTGCTTGTTAGACTCAGAGGTGGGAAGTAGGGGTGGATTTAAATTACATTTCTAACCTGTGTGATGGTAATGGGAAAGGGATATTTTTATGGATCACAATTCGTATATTCTAGTCCAGTAGCTTGATCTGACTGAAGGACTGTTTATTTGGAAAAAACCAAACTTCTTTGGTTATAAATATTTGGCAAAACCTTAAACCTATTTTAAAAGGCATATATGATGTGTGTATGTCACATTAAAACACTTCACTAGTAGGCAGTAGGGAATCAAGAAACTGATTTTTCAGACAGATGTGTTTCCTTCCCTTTCAACACCTCATTTTCACATTCTGACTTGCATTTTTGCCCACTCCTATGAGTTTGTACTTCATTTTTTCCCTGCTTGTTAACCATATTTTTATGCTTTCAGCTGTGTGAATTTGAAGTGCTTTTACCACTAATGGTGTTGCAAACTACTGTTAATCGTGTCACTTCTGTAACATAATACATATTTAGTAATATGTACCTCTATTAGAAAGGACTTTGTTTTTTCAAAAAAAACTTCATGCATTCACTGTCCCAAGATGTCATCAACTGGAGGCAGGGGGAATTTTATGAAGAAAGACTGGTTTTTGTTAACAAGCAATTCAAGTTTTGGATCATTGAGCCTCTTGTACACTTGTTTGGGTTTATTGCAGTTGAAGCTAACCACAATTTAATTCTCCTGGTGCTGCTGCTTGAATTATGCTGTCCTGATCTTTAGTGTGATGGTGAGCACAGCGTTTTTATGCCCATCAGGAAGCAGTGGTGCCCAGGGTCGTTGGTACCTCATCTCAGAAAGCTACTTGTGAGAATGTGAACGGATTCTGTCAAAACAGACACACACTAATGCTGTGACCGACTTCACTAAAAAAGAAAATGCAATGTCAACTTTCAGTTATATTTATTCTGAGATTTCTCGCACAATGTTTTTGCTTTTCCCTATTCCCTTCTATTCCTGATTGTAATTCTAAGTCATTAGAAGTATTCTTAAAAAAACTGAGGACAAATCCAATGTGGTCTTATCCAAATATGCGCTACTCTATGTATAGAGACATATTTTGGACAAAAGCAGTGGAACAAGACAATGTTAGCAGCCTGAGTTGTCAGAGGAGCACCAGCAAGTCACGTAGGCAATGTTTGGCTAGGAAAGGGTGTTGTATTTAGAAAGAAATAGGGTTTAACACATTTTAAACATGTTAATTGAAACACCCAGAGTTAACAGGATAACGTTTTTCTTAAGTATTCCTAAAGCACTTTTTCAAAATGTATTTCACTTTTCTATGCTAAAAAAAAGAGGAATTCAGGGAAGTGTGAAATGCCTTTGGTGTTAGCCTTTGTAGTGTTGGCTGTAATAATAGGCCCTAAAAACTTCCTTTTGCAGCTCTGTGCACTCATTCTATAAAAACCACAGCATTTAACTTTAACCTGCTCGAAACAGCACTGCAAGGGCATTGGGGGCATGAGTAGAGCAGTGACGGGTAGGCAGAGCTTGTGGAAGTGGCACCAGGTTTTGAGGGCTTTGGGTGTGAACTTGTGCCTCCCAGAACATCTCTGCCCAAGTCCAGCTGTGGATAAGTGTTCTGAAAGCTTTCTCACAGCGTTTCTTGTAGTGGTGGGTTTGAGTTGATTGCTGGATTCCTGAAATCTGTGGAAATGATAATGAGTCCTATTGTTAGGAGCGTTATTAAATAAAGAGGAATGAATCCCATGTTACAAAACTTCTCTTAAATTTGTACGGCCTTTTGAATCCAGCTGTTACTGCCCCTTCGGTTAACTAGAAGCAGAGGTTTCAAGTACAGCTGAAAAGGTCTCTTCAGGGAGAGCAGATTGTCATTGCAACGGTAAGATAAAAGGATTTTGGCGATGGCTGGAGTCCTTCAGCTGCGTGGCACAGTGATACAAATGCTGGATGCTGCCTGTGGTGCTATAGGGAGGATCCTGCTGTAAGGGCACTGGCTGTTATTCCTGGGTTGGCTGCCATGACAACTGCGCTGCTGGTGAATGCCCTGTGTGGGTGTTCTTGCAGAAAGCTGAGGGTCATTGATATTCTGAGTGTCCCTCAGAATACTGCAGGCACAAGAGACCCCTTCCTGTAGTTCTGCCAGTGTTTACTATTATCGTGATGGATAAAATATGCAAATGGTGTTGACAGGTTTCTGGGAAGGAAAAAAAAGCTATTTTCCCTTTAAAGCAGCTTCTTGCTTTACATCTTTATTTACATGGGTTTACCAAATGGTTCTAACTTTCGTAGCTTTTATTTCCAGGTCTCATTTGGGTGTGCAATGTTAAGAAGAATAGGGAAACAATTAGACAGTAAAATTTTAACTCAGTTATATCAGAAAAATAGCTTGCTACCTGCAAACACTTTTTTTTTTCCCCCCTTACAAGAGAGTTAGAATGAGTTTGGTGGGATTTCTTGTCGTGGCAATTTCTTGTTGTGGCATTTTAGGTTTAAATTGCTTTTAAAGCAGATACTTGCTCCTTTACAAAACGACTTTTATTGGCTTTTGAGGATTAAGTGTTTTTTCAAGGCCTTTGGCTTTGTGTTTTTAAAAAATGTCTAAAATATTTATCTTTCTGATATCCTCATCCTTCTTGAAATACATTATAACGTTGTTACTGGGAGAGTTAAGAACAGACAGAGCTGCAAATGGCATGGAAGGGACTTTATATTTCTGTTGTTTCTTGAGTATGGAATATTTTACATTCTTGACCCTGAGGTTTCCTGCACTACTGGGAGAGCTGAAGTATTTGAAAACTGGAGTGTTTCTGCCATTATAAAAGAGCATTATGGTATCATTATGAAAAGGAAAACCCAAACATAATTAATTGTTGCTGACTAACTGAAGATTACCACAGAGCACCACATTTGTTTATTTTGCTTTGTATATTTTGCTGTCAAGGTGACGTGCTTACAGGACTTCTTTGGTGATGATGATGTCTTCATTGCATGTGGGCCTGAGAAATACCGGTATGCTCAGGATGACTTCGTGTTGGATCACAGCGGTAAGACTCTACAACTTAAACCCACTGAAATAGCTTCATTAACAGCTCTTACCCTGCCCCCCTTCACCACCTCCCTGTTCCATGCTCAAGATTTGTGTGGTTTAGAAAAATATATATGGGAATATATTTCCCTATGGATAAAAACGGTGTTCTAAATCATTGTCTGTTAAAATGCAATAGTAAACCTGATCTATTTTCTTGGAAAACACACCCTGTTCCTAAAATAAGCAGCACTGAATTTCAAAAGGTTTGGGCATGGATCTAATGGGTATAAAATCTGTTCAAAAAGCTCACTTTCAATATCTGTGACCGTAGGATGATTTTCATACTGCTGTTTTCATGAGATTTTTTTTTTTTTTTTTAAATTTCCTATGTGACTATGTTCATTTCAGGCCTTGAATTGTCCTGCTAGACCATGTTCACATTCCAGTGGTGTCTGCTGTAGGCCAAATATTGAGTGTGTTTATACAGTGTTGGGTGGGGAAGGAGATGAGACAAACTGAGACTTGGTGCCCATGCTGTCTGCCATTGCCAGATCATGACTTTAGCTTGTTTATGAAAGTTGTTTTTTCTGTAAAGAGAAAATTTATAATATAATTTCAAGGAAAAAACTCTCTTCTCTACCAGACAGTTTTGGAATTGTCTTGGCATATCAAATCACATGTATGTGTTGTTTTTTTTCTCCATATTCTTAGAGTCATAGAGTGGTTTCAGTTGGAAGGGACCATTTAATGTCATCTAGTCCAATGCCCCTGCGATAAGCAGGGACATCTTCAGAGCCCTGTCCAACCTGACCTTGAATGTTTCCCAAGATGGGACATCTGCAGCCTCTCTGGGCAACCTGTTCCCAGTGTTTCACCACCCACATCATAAAAAATTCCTTCCTTATATCTAATCAGTTTTTATTTTGAAACCATTATCCCTTGTCCTATCGCAACAAACTGTATTAGACATGTTTTTCTGTCTATATTGTTTCAGCTGTAGAGTCACTTTGATTTTCTTTCATGAAAAAATTAATCTACATTAAAGAAAACTTCCCCTGGCAAGAATCATCAGATTATTTGAGGAGAGCTTCAGGTTGTGAATAAGAGGGATTTTTTTTTTTTTTTTTTTGCCTTGCTCTCGGGTAACTGAAAGGAAAAGCACTCACTGTTTTTCTGATTTTCACAAGTGCCTTAATTCCATTACAAAATCTTCAGTCTTATCAGAAAGTATAGGTATTTATCTAACCACTGGCCCATACATTTGGATGGGTGGAAGATTCAGCTGGCTCCCATTCTGTTGTTATTGCCAGCACGCTTCTTTTCCAGACTTGCCTGATTAGGCTGATTCAGCTGGTGTGGAGGTGACAAGAAGGGTATTTTATAACATAGTTTTAGACTAGCTAAGATACTGGTTTATTCCTACGAAGAAATGGAAGAGCATGGTTGTATTAACTCACACTGCAAATCCCAGTCTGGGCAAAATCATAATTTCTCTTGCAGATTTTAAGGCTGTAAACTTGCTTTTCCCTTTATACTGTGCACAGATTAGTTGGGCTCATTTCCTTTCTGAGTACCCAATGATGGAGGGTTTTTTCCTCCTCTTTTCAGCTTTGGTAGTCCCTGCTGCTTCTAATAACTCTGGAGGTCTTAATGGAGAAAAGCAGGTCAGGTGCAGAGTGGAACATGACTTGACTGGCAGGCCATGCAGCTTTACGTGCTATGTTCGATGATGACCTGGCATCATAAGGATGGCATCGACACTGTAGTGATGAATAACAGGGACAAAATTAGGTGGGAAATCTGTATGATTCCATTGGGAGTGGATTGAGGCAGATGCTGACTGCAGGAATTAAAATGCTTCCAAAATGTCAATGCATGTATACCTATTGATTCCTTACCCATTTAGGTTGTTCTTTGTTTAATGATATACAGCTGATGGCAAATGGCAGTAATCTGTTGTCTCAGCCTTTTGGAAACATTAGGCATTTTTCACCTCTAAAAACTGGTCACAACATGAGTTTCTTGCAAAAGGTGGTAAGCGGGGCTTGCTGTGTACTTGACCTATAGGAAGCTGACATTACAGCATGCAGGATTTACTGAATTACCAGAACCTTGGCACCAGCTGACTTCTCTTTCAGCTGTGTGTAGGTACAATCTTGAATTACAGTAATAATCCAGCTTCAAGACTCAAAGAAATATTACCTATAGAGTGTTGCATACAGTGTTTGAGTAGCTATGGTATGTAGGTTAAAGCTCTGAGATGCTCTTATAAATCAGTTTCGTTCAGTTGGGCAACTAACGATCATTTTCTGGATAATAAGCAGCAACAGTAGTGTTTGGAGGAAGCCTGTACATTGAACTGCTGTCAAAACTATCTGCTTGCTTTGTAGAATGCCGTGTTATGAAGTCATCTTATTCCCGATCATCTGGCATGAGGTATACTGGGTCCAAAAGTCCAGGACCTTCACGTCGAAGCAAATCACCTGCCTCAGGTACTACTTCTAGGAAAGAGCCAAAATTCACCTAAGTTTGAATTTGTTTAACGGGGTGAAAAAACTCTTGACTCTGTTGAAATACAAGTGCCATACTTTGTTTCCTGAGGGATTATTTTTTTCAATTCGTCTAGTAAATTTAATACTAATGTATAATAAAATTTGTATTTTTTTTTGAATCCTGAGAAGAAATGCTATTTCTATCTTTTAACACACACACACACACACACACACACACACACACACACACAGTTTCAGTTTATGAATAGTGGAATAATTTGTGCTAATAATACACTAGGGATATGTTTTCAGCATGGCACTTGATTTTCTTCGGGTTTATTGTCTGCAGGGTGGTTATGTGTTTAAATTCATGATCACTGAACTAGACTATACCCTTAAGTGTTTTGAATTTGAAAGGTTTCTCCTATATGAACTATTGTCAGAAATACAGGATTTTGCTATTTCAAGTAATTTTAGGAGATGTTCTAGGATGTTATTGCCCGTTAACAGTAAAATACTTTTTCTTCTTCTCAGGCTTCCTGCAATTTCAAAGAAAGGTTCATATTGTGTTTTTAACCAGCAGTTTGGCTGAACACCATACATTCCAAACATTGAGTCTTTCATGCGAATAAATAGAGACTTTTTTTTCATTTTATTTTTACCTCTACTTTAATGTCTAAGAACAATAAAAAATAATTATTTTTTTCCCTCAGACCTAGAATAGCCTTGAAATCAAACCATTGAAAATGTGAATGTATGATACTCTGTTTTGAATGTGTAAACTTCTGTGTATGTATTCAAAACTGCAATATGTTCGATATTGATTTTTGTTTTCTTAATTCATGCTGGTTAAAGTTATTTTATGTCTTTGGGTTCTTTCAAGGGAGATATTTATCATCTGTTTATAAAGGTTGAATATTTAACTGGAAAGTTTCAAAGAACGATCACAGTAATGACAAAGAAAAGTGTACCATGAAGGGCAAATTTCTCAACTGATCTACTTTTCACACACTCCTGTTTACTCCAGTGAGATTGCATGGGATATCTATCAACTGTGAATTCTATGCAAAATGTTTAGAAATCAGTGCTGCCATTTCCTTTCTTATTTCTCCTTGGACACCACTTTGTTTTGGTTAAATTGAAAATTTTATCTAAGTGTCTGGTATTTATCCTTCTGTTTACTTGCCGTTTTTTCTCATGTAATCTTTACTTATTTTTATTTACCCTTCTTCCTTTTGTGCATGTTCAGAGCTGTTTAATAACTTCTTTCCTTAATGTCTTTTTCCTTTGTGTCAAATATATGAGTACAGTAAAGAGGGGTGGCCACTACTCCAGTGCTTACTCTTCAGCAAAATCCCCAGGTGAGCCATTATTATTATGGCTGTGTATCACTAGTGTGTCACCTCCCTCCCCATTTACCTGTATTCTTTTCACTGTATTTGTGAATATTTTCAAGCTTAAAACCCACGTTCTGCATTCAGTGAACCAGAGAGAAAATGAGTGTATGTTTTTTGGAAGTAGATTGAGTGAAATAATGATGCTTTATAGTTGTTGGAAATCTGCTGCTGATGTCAAATTTAAATTTGTAAAGGTATAATTTGACTACAGGTAGAGGAGCATTCTGAGGAGCAATGCATTTGTGTTACTAATTTGTATTACTTGTACATGTGTATTCTAAAGCATATTACAATAGTAAATTTTAGCCAGTGCAAAAAGACAGAGGTAAGAGTTGCTGAAAAAAGCAATGCAAAAAGATGTCATAGTTTTTACTTTTATTTTTTGTGTTATTTCAGCCCAAGTTCTAGAACACCAAGAAACCTCTCTGAACCTTCAGTTCAAAGCAAAAGTATCTCTAAAACAAGTAACATGCATTTTGATTAGCAAATAAGTTGAGACTTTGAACTACACAAGAAATTAACAATTTAGAAAGTATTCATAGGTTTTTCAGTTTCCAGCATTCCAATATGCTAAAGAGCTGTAGCCTAGTATGTGCTAAAAGTTAAAGAACATCAGACAAGATTTTTTTTAGCCTGTATATTCAGGCTGCTATATACGTTGAAAGAAGCCTCAAACTTACCGTTAGAAAATAGGTAAGAAAGGTAAGTTTTGCATACACGATATGATCATCGAAGCAAGAGCAGTGGACGAATTTGTGCCAAAAACCAGTACAGATTGCTCGTGTGGTGGTTTTTGTGAGTAAACCAAAAAAGCAACTACTGCCGTCTGAAATAGCAGTGTTGTGTTTTAATCCCAGCCAGCAGCTATGCACCACGCAGCTGCTTACTCCCTCCCTCTGCCAGCAGGATGGGGGAAGAGAATTGGAAGGCTTAAAGTGAGAAAACTTGGGGATTGAGATAAGAGCATTTTAATAGTCAAAATAAAATATAATACTAGTAGCAAAAATAGTGCTTAAAAGTCACCTTCAGCAGTCAGAGGGTAGTAGGTTAATAGAACTAGAGAAAAATAAATCCAATAGCTCTCCTTAAGAAGTGATGCATAACCCATGACAGACCTCTGAATGTGTAAAGGATATATGCAGGTATAACTGTTATTCATTTGAAGCTAAGTTTCTATTTACCAGGGTTACTTTTTTTTCCTTCTGAAAAATTAATTCTGCACCACTAATCAGCTATAAAACCTTTTTACCTCTAAAATTTCTGCTTAGTATTTTCCTAGAGGAAATGATGTCACATCATTTAATGTTGCATCATATTTGTGTATGATAAGCTATCTGTGCTATTCTGTCTGCATAGTGAAATTCATCAATTCATGTTTTTCAGAACAATGCAAGGACTGAACTAAGTTATATTCAAATCACCACAGATAGAAAACATGTTGTATCAGGTGTCTCTGGAAAACTGGACTTAAAATGAATGAACTCTTGAAGTCAAGAGGGAGGATATTGCTTGTTTTTACAGACACTTGAGCTTCTTGGAAGTTCAGAAATAACTTACTAGCTTTTACGTTGTTTTTTTCCCCCTAAAACAATATTTTTCTGAACTACTGCTTAAGGTCTTTATCATCCAAACGGCTCGTACCTCTTGTTTGTTTTTCTTGGTAAAACAAATGAAACAACTTGCTTTCATTCTACCTAGAAAGTTGATCCAAAAAGGAGAGATAGAGAATCAAATGTCTTTATTAACCCTTTCTCCATTTTTTTATTGTGCAGTATCATAATAAATTATAGAATTTTAAAAGGCTATGGCTATTATTTGCTCAAAGCTCTTGCAGTGGCAAAAGGCAAAGTAAGCCTTTAAATCTCTAGAATGACTGTGCAATAGTTGTGTCTCTTCTTGATCCCATATCTAGCCACATGAGTTTTAGGGGTACAGTCACATGGCATGCAAGCATATAATTTAACTCCTAAATATGAAGAGTCTGTTTTGGTTTTGTATTCAGACATGTGTGATAACTTGTCAGAGAAGTATGTTATATTTAACAGCTTGTTAGGGTTTTTTTTACTTCTATTCATGTTTTCTTTTGTTCGTTTGATTTTATTGCTTTGGCCAGTTAATGGAACCCCAAGCAGTCAATTATCCACCCCAAAATCTACAAAGTCCTCCAGTTCTTCACCAACAAGCCCAGGCAGCTTTCGTGGACTTAAGGTAAGTGCAAGAACCATCAAACCCACTAAATTTCATTATTCATTGAATGATGTATTTCAGTAATGCTGTAGAAGGGAAAAAAAAAAAAAAAAAAAAAAAAACCACCAGTTATAGTTCTATAGGGTAGCCTTGCTACTGTGATTTTTGAGTTGAAGGGGAGGAGAGATCTGAAGTAAGATTATTTTTATTTTGTATTTTGTCTTTGGTTGGTAGGATGGAAGTCTCAGCTTAAGAAAGACAAAAGGTGATGGTGACTTGAATATGCCCATTTGCCCTCCAAATTTTCCATTGTTTCATGGCCTGCAGAAGCCCTCCCCCCCAAGAAATTTATATTCCCTCAGGCTATATAAATGTAATATCCTCTTTTTGGATACCTTATAGTCTTGTAGCATTGCCCAAAGGTTTTCACCCATGGCATGCCATTTCACCCCTTAATGCAGTCTCCTGCTGGAAAGCATGTGAGGGGTTCCTTTGGAAGCAGATTTTTCTCTGTGTTGCACCACAGAATTCTCTTTCTCTCTCGGCTTGGTAGCGTTTACGAGGCTGCTCTGTGCCTTTTGCTCAGTGAAATAAAAGGAGCAGTTTGGAGCACAGTTGAGCATCTCATTGCTTCATTTGTGTGCAGCTGTCCTTTCAAGGAGAATTTTCTTATGAAATCGTCGATCCTAGCCTTTCTGGAAGGACGCTGGGTGGTTTGCCCTGATTATTCTGATCAAGTAATAGCTTCCAAAACAACAGTTGTGAAGAGGCTGCATAATTCTGTGGTAAACTGTTTTTTCAATTAAGAGACTAGCTAAAGGACGTGATTTGAATAGTATTTAGTCTTGGGGTTTGATGTGCTAATTGTTACCAAGTCTTTGTCTGTTTTGCAAGGAGTGTGGCACTGGTTTCTAACAGGATTCTGTGATAATTCTGAGAAAATATTCTTATCTATTTGCTTAATTCTAATATATTTTATTGAGGCAGTTTAGTGTTGATGTTTGCCTTTATGTTATTGAGCTGTACCATACCATAGCTTCTCTTTGTGCAAAGCAAAGATTGGCCTTTTCCACATAAAACATTTCCAAGAGCAATAATAGTTCTGACACTGAAAATTAGAACTGTGCATCTTAAAATTTGTCTGGATAGCTCTGCCATAGAATGTTATACTAGAGGACACCAAAATCATTGGACTTGAGGCCCTCAGATGGACTGCACTATGTTTAATAAATGCGCTTTTGTCTTTAATGAAATTACAAGTTTAGAAACTAGATAATTTGCTTTGTTCTCTTCCCACGCTGTCCTGTCTGCTTTTAGCAGATTAAAGCTCCATTAAGAGAGAGATAATTCTGATAGTAACAAGCAATTTTCAGTAAAAGTGGACATGTCTTCTTTCCCCTTCAGTGTCAATTTCACTGAAGCAGGCTGTTGTACTTTTTAATTTCAGAATTTAATTGATGCTGGATACTAACGGGTCTCTGTGTCAAATAAGTCATCCCTATATGACCAAAAAATCCCAGCAAAACCAAATTCATTGTCTCAGACCTAACATGTTACTGAAGTAGCGAGTAGCTCTTTTATCTCATTAGGATGCATCTGTTCAGTAGGAAGATCCCACCAGCTGTGCTCTTGAGACTAAAGATAGGGAAAGTTATGTGGCGGATCTCAGGATAAATTCCAAAAGGACCAAGTGTATTGTGTAGTGACCCTTGTTTCTTAATTATTTTCTAGTGATAATGCCTGTTTTGGTGAAATATCAACACAAAACCAGTGCCAGGGAGGCATGGTCTTACGCAAAACCAGTTGCTTTTAAGAAAACCCTTATTATTTTTGCAGGACTGATCTTGTCAGTCTGATGAAGACAACAAGAGAAATTTTATTATTTTGAGTTTACTGCTTTTCCCCATTGTTAAATAATTCCTTGTTGCTAAGACTGCATCACTGTGCAGACAAGTAGTCTGGCTTCCTGCACTTGTCTAAAGAAGGTGCCATGACTACAGCTGAATGAAAAGGTAGATATAAATACCATGGCAGACAGTAAAAGGATAAAGTATATTTCCAAGTTTTCTGGCTTTGGAAAGGCAATATTTTGTCTGATTTGTTGTGTAGAAATAATGTATGTTTATTTTTATAGAGCACCGCTTAATAATTGTTTTTTTATGAGCTTGGGGCAGCAGGAAAAGGGAACAAGTCGATGCTGATGTTTCTGTTTCCTGCAAAGAGCAGACGATGGGAGCAGCTGCACATGAACTGCTCTTTTAAAAACTGTGTTGTTTGGAAAGCCAGAGCAAACCAAAATATTTTACTATAGCTTAGAACCTGGCTAAGCTTTTTGAAGTTTTATGATTAACATAGAGCTTAAGTGATAATGCTAGTCATCAGGGCAGCAAACTTGCAAACTGTACTGATTGCAACAGGAAATTTATCTCAGTCTCAGACATTGAGTCCTATGTCATATTCTCCAAATACTGTTTTTCCTTTGAAGTGAAGACTCTTCAGTCCCCAAGGATTCCTTCTTCTTCACAACACTTTAGAAGCAGAAGTGGTATGCCAGGCATGGAAAACTCCTTGCAGGAAACACTCCTCCTGAACAGCTTATCTTTAAAAAGAAGGGCTTTCCTTCTGTCCTTTTTAGCTCTTCCTACCGGAGTGCCCTTGTGCTATTAATTGTTCAGTACATACTTACTGTAAGCCAGTTTGCTGTCCATCATCCTAGTCTTGCAGAAGTGTTTTTTAAAAAAAAATTGCACTGGAATCTGAGATTGTATTGAAGTAAGGAATTTCTGGTTATGGCTTAATAACACTACAGATTTTTCCCACCACTCCAAATAAATGTTTTTATTCCAGAAAGTAACAAATATGGATGCCATGCACCCAATTGCATGCTAATATGTGTTCTTAGTAAAGCTGTTTCTTTTTAATATCACAATTATAATCCTTAACTAAGCATTTCACTTTGCAGAGAGGTCGTTTCAAGGTCGAGATTTAGATATAAAAGTTTAAAAGTGTAGGCATGAATTAAATGACAATACAATATTCTTTTTTGCACAAATAGGCTGAGTCTCTTATTTTTCTGTTAGTCTTTCCATAGAGATTAAAAGTAGTGCATGAATTAAGAAACAATGGTAATAGCACATTAGGAGGCACGGGACACCTGACTGAGGGGAGTCCTTTTGCAGTTCTGTAATAATTGAAAGGTTTGACCTTTTCCTTTGGTTCTAAGTGTGCATTTATAGATACCCAGATATGCAGTGCTTTTAGGGGTACTTTGACTCTTATCTCTTCCAGCACACACTTTGCTGGAGACTAGATGAAATATGAGATTTTAGGAAGTGATATCATGATTTTGTTATGCTTGCTTGGATGTGTTTTATTGTCTCCTTTTGAGATGAAATACCACAAAGTCTTGTCATCTTTTAAAAAAGAAAATAAAATTGTACAAATAAAGAAGCTTTGCAGCTGCGGCCTTTCTTAGACTCCCAGTTGTGGTAAATAGCCATGTGTTTGTCTCAGTATTACTTTTTCGATTGATTGATCAAATGACCAAAGTGAAAGGGCATTAAAACCTGATCCAGCAAATAGCTTAAGTACTTGCTTAACTTTAAGCTGTTGAGTAGTCCCTTTTACTTCACTGAGGATGTTAATGTACTTAAAGCTAAACATGTGCTTAAGTGATTTGAAGGATTAGTGACTATCTTCATCAAGGTTTTAATCTCTTCAGTTTTGTACACATGTGCTGCTTTTAGCAGTTACCTGTTAAGAATATTTACGTGCAATTATCCAACCTAGTGACACGTGTGCAATAGCAGTCCTTAGAGGAATTCCTTAACTACTGCCTCTGAATTCACAGTTCGTCATCCTTCTTGCTCATACGGTGGGTGAGAGTTGGCTAATGTGTGCTGGTAGGGGAACTGAGGTCTTAAGTCCATTCACTGGTGCCATCAGTTTGCTTAAATGCTTTACGTGATGTGATGCAACTCAATCTCTTTAGAAAAAGGGTAGGTCTTTATGTGACTGTTGAGTGCTTCCACAGCAGTGCAACAAAATGTTTGACATTAATGGTAGCAAAAATCACTACATTCTATTTGGCTGTTGCATAGTTACAAGTAGCTTCTTGGTATAGTTGAGTTACTAGCAGCATTTAAGTATTAGTTAGGAGTACTATGTTTACTTTTTTTTTTAGGTATATGGTAACATTTTTGACTTGAAAGCTTTTTAAAAATCTTTGCTACTGGAACAGTAGATGTAGCTTGATTAAACTAACTGTCAAGCTGTTACTTTTTCATTCCTAAATCACTGGCTTATGCTCTGATCCAGATTTTAGGGGAATCTTGGGCCATTGGGCCAGTCCCTCCCTGCTTATTATGTCACCTTACATTTGCATACTCAGTTCATGCTCTTGGACTCTATGATGGTTTAAATGCTTTTCTGGGTTTTGTTTGTTTGTTTCTTTTTTAATGTGCTTTCAATTTCTTATTAACCTAGAAGTAGAAAGCCAGTATCTGGCAGGATGCAGGTCTTTGGCACACCGGATACTTCAGATAATAAAAATAAAAACTTAAAATTTTACAGTACAAAGTGTAAAATAGAATTTTTAATGGATTGTATATTGGTGGGAGTGAAAGGAAGACTGCTAAATACCTGTTCTTTAGTTATTATATTGAGATGTAATAAGCACATTGGGTACTAAAGTAGGTGTGTTAAGCTTATGGATGTGACAGATCTAATGTGAGTGTTTCTCAAAAAAATCATGTCATATTGATAAACCTGGTGACTTAAGTCACAGTCAGTCTACATAAAATAATATAAAATATGGAGAAATGTGTTCAGATGTTTTTGTGAACCTGGAAAAATGGTTATTCCACAGAAAATAGATCAGCATGTGAAGAAAACTAATTGGGCAGAGTTTTTTCCAGCTCAGTACCTTTTGTAACTGTTTTACAGCATCTGTAAAATAATACACAACTAGTTTTGAGAACTGTGTGTTCACCAAGATATTCTCATATCTCTAACAACTATGTTGTATGTGCGTTTAGCTTTGGATTTGCTATTGATACACAAATTACCTTCAGGGAGGCAACTTGAGGGAAGTAAAAGCAATAGTTACTATATTCTGTATTGCATAATGTTTAAATGCAGCAGAAGTGACTGTCAGCCTAGGATGGTTTTGGCCAGTAGTATTCACATTCAGAGGCAATTATTTTTTTTGAGGGCTCAATAGCCATGGCTGCTCTTAATTACTCTGTAAGCTTTTAAAAACAAAGAATCAAATTCTGCCTCAGATCTGAGATTTCTAGGATATACATGTATAGGTGAGAGGGTGAATTTAAGACCTGTGTACCTTGAAGTTACCATGTGTTAGGGGTACAGTACTGGAGGACAGCAGTAGTGCTCTGTGGACTAGAATACGGGAGGAGGAATTGTGGCAAAATGTGTTGTGATAGTAGATGCCATCCATGTTCACTAGCATAGTATCAAAGCAACATACATCCTTTTCACTTCTCGCTACTTCAAGAATGGCCCATAAGCAGTCAAGTCTGCTTGCACATGCAAAATCTTTACCTCACCTTCAAGTTACCTGCAGCTGTTGGGTTACCAGCTGTACAATATATTCTAAATAATGCATACCAGTGGGTACTTAAATGATTAGAAAACTAGTAATAATTCACTTTATTCCATGTCACTTATTGTCAATTCCTACCTCCTCCCCACCTCTTCTGACTAGTCAAGCACCTTGCAGACACCTCAAGAGTTTATTTCTACTGTGCTCTGACAGGGGAAAGACTAATCTGCTTTTGCTGCTGAGAACCTACAGCACCCAAATAACAGGCAGTTTCTGATGTAGAGCAAGTTCAGCCTTCTGTCTAGAGCCATGAGGCAAATTAATGGTAGAGTTAAGATTAAACCTACTGGTTTAGGTTCTGAGCTAGCACCAAAGCCACAAGAGCAACATTAGATATAATTTTTTCCTTTTTGTATTCCTTTTAGCTTTATTCCCTGTTGCTGTTTATTTCCTTGTAAATAGTGTGGAAAGAAGGAATGTGCTCAGTCATGCTCTGACCTGATTACAGGGATAAAGGAAGTTGGAAATGTGGCCTAGAAATTCCCATGTATTGTCAAATCACTGAAAACTCCAAATAGATTACTAATATTTTTGGCTAATGACTAATACTTTGCAGTATAACTATTCTGTTATCTCCCCTTCATGCTTGAAGAAAATGTGACTGAATGGTTTAGAGTCTGACTCATGATTTTGCACAAATGTCGTTTAACCCAAATACTGATATTTGTTCCTGATACTTTTTAAATAAATAGATAACTCAGCAGCATTAACGTAGCCTGTTTTTAAGTTATTAGCAAGGAGCACAGTAGTAGCTGACTGGTTGCTGTTTGATGTTAGTTCTATGCCGTATACTAGTAAACATGATTGTTTTAGAGGCTTTGTAAAATTAAGTTGTACAGCTTCTTGTTACTGTACCCTTAGCTGATTTGACAGCTTAGCTGCCACTAGAAACTTAAGCATTCATTAGCATTTCATGAGCCTTTAGACAATATCCCTATCTGTCAGTTCAGTTCTTTCATTGACAATAGTCTTAATGATTTAAAATATTCAGCAGTGTAACCAGACAATGTCAGCTAAAATGGAAAATGCAGCATTTGCATTCCTGGTGTCATGCAAAGCCATTTCAACAGACACTGAGCTTAAGGCAGAGAAGCATTTTAATCCGTTATGTGGTGAGTGATGAGAACTACTATAATAGCCCATGAAGAAAACAAGATATAGAACTCCACAGAACAGCAAGAAACGCTACATAGAGAAGGGGAAATATCTAAATTATATTTCAACTTCATAGAGCATCCGTATACTTAACTGGAATGGAAGAACTTATAAAACAGTGGTACATAGAACACATCCAGTAACTTTTACTATTCGTGGCATTCATTCATATGCCTCTACCACTTTTTAAAATAAAAAACATTTGTCATATATGTCCCTGGGCAGTATGACAGGCTGAGTGCAAGTGGAATTGTAAAGGTTCAGATCAAGTACCAATTAAGTTGTTAGTGCAGCAAAAAGTAGTTTTCTTCAACCTTCAGAATAAACTGATATTTTTTAGATTAGATATTTGTTTTCTACACACTGTCACTATTACTAAAACTGTCTCTGTGTCTGGATTTGTATCAGACATCTGACTTGAAATGCTTGTAGATGTCATAAATCTTCACATCCATAGTAACCTAAAATATAGCCTGCTAGATTACCCTGCAAATTTGTCGTAGGTGTACCCAGCCACCTATGCCAAAAGTGTCTTAAAATGAAAACTGGTAGGGCCATGCAAGCAGTTCTGCATTACCTTCCTGGTATGCTTCACTGCTAATCGAACGAGAACATATGTTGACAGAGTTCAGTTAGGGAAACCTCAGACAGTGCTGGTTAGGAAGAGGTGTTTTAGACTACAGCACAAGAACCACGTGCTTGCTGCACTGGCCACCAAAGAGTTGCCCGGAGGTGGCTGTCTGGCTTACATGAAAATGTACACAGAGTATATTGTAATGGTCTTGTGTAGAATGAGGAGGGAACATCGCCTCCACACATGCTGGCTTTGTAGTGTTTGGGTGGAACTTGGTGCATTTTCTTTGCTGTTTACTGGAATCTGTTCAACTACTTATCTAAACAGGAGTATCAGAGCTGAATCTTAAATTAATGCAAGCGACAACAATGTAGTGATCAACACTGAGAAAGCAAGAATAAAAATGAGAAGGGAGTAGAAAAGTAAAGTGACTCTGTATAGGTGGTTTTACCTTGAGTTTGTTTGTGGGGTTTTTTTTAACTTTGCTGGGTCTTTTATCTGGCTCCTTCTTGTTATCACTTTACCGTCAGAAGTACTAATTCTTTATGCATTTCTGTAGATCTCTCCACATGGTGGATCTTCGTCCAATGTGAATGGTGTTCCTGAATCACTCCATTGCCAGAGTCCTGAAGGTAAGACACCAATAATTGCTAACAATCCTTGCAAAACTTTTGTTGCAGTGACAGTTGAATTAGCAGTTTTAAATGGTTTTTGATGACTCCAAGTCATGTTTTGTTCCAAGATGTCTGATACCTTGTCGAAAAACTTATCTTGGAAAAAAATGTTAGTGCGTTTTCTACGTCAAGGCAGTAAAGCTAGGAAACATATTTTATTTTAATTTTTCTCACTTGGTAACGTATTAGTGGACCCTGCTCTGCAGTAGTTACTATTAGGAATTTGAGTGATTTTAAACATGCTCTGCAGAGTAGAAGTAAAAATGCGTTTGTGGCTGGATTGGAACTGGAGCCTTCTTCAAAGCAGCACATTGTACTTCAGGTAGAACCGCTTGCCCACCAACTAAATTCAGCTGAACTTAACCTTTCATTCCTTATATATTTTAAGCAATGTTGATTGGGATGAGGGGGTTATTATTTTGAAACTTCCTTTTTGAAGTCTTTTTTAAAATTTAAAAGTACTGAAATAAGCAGCTATCAAACTTATTTGCATTTTGGATGTTTCAGCAGCAGCTAAAGAGAACTTGAAGGAAATGAGCAGATAAAACTTTTGCTTCCTTTACATATGTTGTAGATGAGTGTTATTTGCATTTTTGCAAAAAAAGATACTTCAAAAAAAGTGGTTTGAGTTCGAAAATATTTAGATTTAGGATTTCTGACTGCATTCATTACTTTCAGAATACGTCCACACAAAAACACAGTGTTATTTGGTTTGTGTTCTAAAAAGTCAGACACCTCTTAATTAGTCTTGTTCTTTCTTACATTTGAGATAAAAACAAGGGAATAGGCTGTGAAGAAAACAGCTTGTTCATAAGTTTTGCTTTGTGTTTGTGACTGTTTTGTGTCTGTGGTTACCCACTGGGGATATATTACATCCTGCTGACACTTCTCTTCAGCTTGCATTATTGACCTTACTTTTTTTCAGGTCTGAATGGAAACAAGTGCTTAGGGTCATCTACCATTCTTGAGAAGTATAAAGTGGGGAAGGTGATCGGTGATGGCAATTTTGCTGTTGTAAAGGAGTGCGTAGAACGGTAAGCAGGGCAACTGTTCAGTACTGCTGTTTGTTTTACTGAATAAAGCCCCCGACATTAGTATAATTTCATAGAAAATGTAATGAGATGAAAGTAAAGACCAGTTGCAAAAATATGCCTACACTTAAGCAGAACTAGGCATAGCAGAACACCCAGACCTTCCTATGTATTATTCCAGCAAAGGGATACAAGCAGAAGAACATGGCTTTTTACCCAAAGGAGATTTCACCTTCCTGCACCTGGGTCGGGCAGTCCTCAGTATCAGTACAGACTGGGGGATGATGCAGACAGCAGCCCTGGGGAGAAGGACTTTGGGGATACTGGTGGACAAGAAGTTAGACGTGAGCCAACAATGCGCGCTTGCAGCCCCGAAGGCCAATCGCATCCTGGGCTGCATCAGAAGAAGCACGGCCAGCAGGTTGAGAGAGGTGTCTCTGCCCCTCTGCTCTGGTGGGACCTCTCCTGGAGTACTGTGTTCAGCTCTGGAGCTCTCAAAGGAGGAAGGAAATGGACCTGTTGGAGCAAGTCCAGAGGAGGCCACAGAGATGATCAGAGGGCTGGAACACCTCTCGTACAAGGACAGGCTGAGAGAGTTGAGGCTGTTCAGCCTGGAGAAGAGAAGGCTTCAGGAAGACCTTACAGCAGCCTTCCAGTACCTGAGTGGGACCTACGGGAAAGCTGGAGGGGGACTGCTTATCAGGGAGTGTAGCAGTAGGACAAGGCGTAATGGTTTTAAACTGGAGCAGGGTAGATCTAGGAAGAAGTTCTTCGTTATGAAGGTGTGAGAACAGGCACAGGTTGCCCAGAGAGTTGGTGGAGGCTCCATCCCTAGAAACATTCAAGGTCAGGCTGAGTGTAGCTCTGTGCAACTGGATCTAATTAAAGATGTCCCTGCTCACTGCAGGGGACTTGGACTAGATGACCTTTAAAGGTCCCTTCCAGCCCAACACATTCTATGATTCTGTGATTCTAATGGCAGCTCTTAAGGAAACCCCACAAATCTTCTTCAAGAAATCCCCTCACACAACAGACTGTTGTGGATAGCAGGAAATTGTATGTGGCATCTCCACAGTCTTTGAGAGACACACCTTCTGCCTCAGCAGTTCTGCTGCTATAGTATCCCTACTGCCTGCTGCTTAAGTGATTTTTCACAGCTTTCAGTATACTCTGGGCAAAGTATTCGTAAAGGCATGCAGTTTGTGGCTATTAGCCTGTGCTACTGACTCCCTTGTGCTTGCTTCTTCTGTGAGGTACTGCAGTGAGTAGCTGGAGACTTTTCAAATCAACCCTTCTATATTCTTGTGCCTCATTTTCCATGGGGTAGACAGGATACCTTTACAGACCTGTGCTGTGTTACGGCTCTTTCTCTGCAAGCTTTGTGTCACGCTTCGCTGCTAGTGCAAACGTAACAGATGATTTGACTGTCACTTTTTCAGTGTATGTTTTAGAATCACCTTCTGCTATCTTCATCAGACACAGTTATGTCAGCTTCTTAAATATTATGAGGCATCTCCAGCTTGTACACAAATACTGGGCAAATTCAGCCAATGTCTAAAACCCATAAAGTTATAGAAACAGTTTCTATTATTTGATCCTCATCTGCTGGTTTTATTTAAGCCTGACCTTAGTTCTGGAGATGGTAATTTATTTTTCCTGTTGTGCTCCATGAGGAGTTCCCTCTTCTGCCAGGCTGATCTTCTGCCCTGCTTGCTTGATTTATGACACAGTGGGATAGCCTGCTCCTGTGCTTCTAAAAAGTGGTTCTTAAAGACTGACCAGCAATCATGGACTCAAAAGCAGATTCCTAGGGTACTCTGGTAAATAGCTCTGTGAATAGCTTAAAGATTTTTTTTCTTGAAAGCCAGCATAACAACTCTGCTTTTTAAATTTTAAAGTCAACCATTTTGTGATTACTCTGGCCAAGACAGACACCTACCATCGCGTGCCCCACAAGTCCCCTCTTCACAAATAGCAAGTCTTGGGGGGCATCTTTCCTAGTTGGCTCACTGAATACCTGTAGCAAGAAGGTATCTCCTACAAACTCCAAGAATTTCCAAGACCTGCTTGTCAAAGTAGTGTGATATTCGCAGTTGATGTCTGGGAAGTTGAAAACTCCCATAAGGACAAGGACTACTGATCCAGAAATTTATCCTAACTGCCTATAGAATAACTCATCAGTGCTAACATCCTGGCTGGGTGATCGGTAGTAGACACCCACTACAACATCTCTTGCTTTCCATCCTCCTCACCCAGAGGCTCTCAACTACATCACCACTAACTAAGGGCTGTACAACCAAACTGCTCCTTTACATGTCGTGTGACACCTCCACCTTGCCTGCCCTGCCTGTTCCTCTTGAACAGCTTGTGGCTCTCCGTCCTAGCACTCCAGCTGTAGAGTCATAGAATGGTTTGGGTTGGAAGGGACCTTAAAGATCATCTAGTTCCAACTGAGACCCCTTCCACTAGATCATGTTGCTCAAAGCCTCATCCAGCCTGGCCTTGAAGACTTCCAGGGATGAGGTATCTACAGTTCCCCTGTTCCAGTGTCTTACCACCCTCGTAGTGAAGAACTTCCTAATGCCTAATCTAAATTTACCCTGCTCTAGTTTAAAACCATTGCCGCTACATGCCCTTGTAAACGGTCCCTCCCCAGCTTTTTTGTAGGCGCCACTGAGGTACTGGAAGGCTGCTGTAAGGTTTCACTGGAGCCTTCTCCAGACTGAACAGTCCCGACTCTCTTAGCCTGTCCTCTTAGGAGAGTCCATGAAGTATTACTAATACCAATGACAGCGTGGTTCTGAGAGCTGAGCAACACTTCCTATTTGTTTCTCATACTGTGTGTGTCAGTGTGCAAGTGTTTCAGATGTGCTCCTGAGCCCTCCGTGCTCCCGGGACCAATGTAACTGTTCCCGCTGGTGTTGCCACCCTTGGGCAATGCCATACTGACCCTTGGCCTTCCTACTGCCTTTCTCTTGGTGGCAAAATCCCCCATCAGTTCCAGTTTAAAGCACTCTCCATCAGCCCCACCAGCTTTACTACTAAAGATGCATTTTCCACATCACAATAGGTGGATCCTGTCAAGGCCAGCGTACCTTGATTTTTAAAAGCTCTTCCATGATCTAAACCCCCAAAGTTTTGCTGCAGGCACCAAACGAATGATGCTTCATAGTGTTTTTCCATGCTCCCCAAAATTGGCTGCATATAATTGTTATCCACAGAGTGAACAACATTCATGAAAGATAGCGGGTTAAGAGCATAAGATTTATTGTTTTCAGGAATATTAACTGTGCATTTTGGAAATCATTTAAGTTCCATGGAAAATGAGACAGGGCTGGTAAGTCACCTGGGTTTCAAAACATGATCTGTATACCACCTTTCAATTATTTGGGGAAAAAAAAAAGGCAAAATTAGACTTAACAATCTAGTTTTGCATATGATCCCATCTTAGTATTTAGTGAAGCATTATTACATGAATTTTATATAAAGTATATATACCACAATAGTTGCTAATAATAGCAATGAGAGAGGAAATGACGACTATAAATGCTTGTCTTTTAATTCCTGTTAATTATTATGCTTAGTTTCTAATAATGTTGTGCTTAGAAGCCTTAGTCGTGGAGCCAGGATCCTACTATACCAGCTGTTCTACAGAAGAGTAAGATGGTCTCTTTTCAAAAGGTGGCCTATATGTCTGTATATAAAGACATGAGTCAACAGATGGACACTGACAGCTAGACAGAATATCAGAAACCTGTTAGACAATACTGGTGTATGGTAGGCAGTGGTATTAGTGCACAAATTATGGATGATATCCAGGGGGTTTTTTTAGGTGCTATAGTGAAGGACATTTGCAAGAAGGATCTGAAGTTGGCTGATGAATTGGCATTGTGAATGTTAGCTCCTCTTTCTGCACAGCAAAGTGCCAAAGGTTTACCAGGTGGGTTTTGCGGATCAGTTGTTGGCAAGCTTTCAGATAATGCACTTAATTTAGTATAACGCACAAATTGTGCTTCTGAATTACACACTGCATTCATAATAGATCTTACGTCAGGTCTATCGTATAAGAAGATGGCATTTCACTGATACCATTTAGATAACACTTTTATCTAAAGACCAGATCAGGTTGTAACTATGACAACCTGACAGATACAGCTGCACTTTTGGAGCCGAGATTTTTCTACTGCATTTTTTCAGTAATGGATAAATTGAATGCGAGACATTAATCCAGCTCCTTTTTTGTAAGGCACTAGTTGTACCTAATGCCAAAAGCATAGTGAAAATTAACTTGGAAGTTTAAAAACATGCCTGACATCTGCTTTTTTGTAACTGCCTCCAGTGTTTTTTACCAAACGTGCCAGTGGCCTTCAGATGCACGCTGGAGTCTGTAGCTATTGACACAACCCAAAATAGTAGCAACAAGGTCTTATGGCATTTTCTTGTGATTTTTAATTAATTGTTAATGTAAGTAGTAATTATTATATGTTTAAAGAAAGATAATTTATTTGTCTTACTTTTTACTTTCGTTTTCTCCCTTTCTGGAGAAACAGGGATTTTTATTGCTTAAAGAGACAAAAGGCAAACAAGAGCTCCTTTCTGTGAGAGTATTTGCTGAAAACAGTAATCCTTTTTACTTCATATATAACTGCCCTCTTAATGTCATAGGACTTGAGATGAGTGCTATAGAATTCCACAGAATACTTAAAAAAAGAAAGATTGAAATATAGCAGATGAAAATTAATGCTTAATTCTGTGGGTTTGTAGACTAGTTTGTAATGAACTATGAGATTTTAGCTCTGCTGAATCCTATTGGAATTTTTCCACTAGGGTATCAATATTTCTTCTGCTCACTTACACATAAATGTGCATTATTTTATCTTTAAAGCCTACCAGTTGAACAAAGTGAAGTGGAAGGTTCAAGACAAATTTTGGATATTGCATTAAAGAAATAACAGAGAATTGTGCCAGGTCACAGAAGAAAAAATTGCAACTGGAACCCAGGATTAATAGACAAAGTGAGCGAGGTTGTGGTAGTCAGGGAAACAGCAGGCACCAGCACTGCTGAGGAAACAAAAAAAAAAAACCAACCCAACAAAATCAAGCCCATTCTGTGAATTTTCTGTCAGCAACATCCATGGGTCAATGCAGTCTGTTATGATGATGTATATTCTTACAGATAATGCCACAATTTGACCAGTTTCTGATTTTTTTTCTTGCTAGATCCACAGGAAAGGAGTTTGCACTGAAGATCATAGACAAGGCTAAATGCTGTGGAAAGGTAGCGTACGACAGTTTGCATGTATAAGAGAAATAGCAGAAAAAGCACTAGCAGCTGCTCATTAGTCATAAATGGTGGGTGTGTTTGGGTTTCTGACTGCTTTCAGAATATCTATTTAACAGGATGATAATGTATCCAAAAAGTGAATAATAAAAGTAGAAAATGTTAGTCTACTAGATAACAGACTAAAACCCAAACAATTTGTCGACTGTTTTATTGGACTAACAAAGAAAATGCTAATATGTGTCCAAAATAAATTAGAAAGAATTTTATCTGTAAAATGTGAGAGAGGAAATTTGGAGCTACATGTATATTTATATAATTCCTGTCCCTCTCTGCCACTTATTTTTTATCTTTTTATGGATATACATGCTCTTTTTATATACAGACCATGGATTTGGAAAGAAATTTTTGCAGCCATTTCTTTCTATTAATGTAGTTTCACCATCCTGTATAACAAAGATCTCTTAGCAAAAGACGTCCTTAAACTGTCTTTTTAATTCAGGCTCAAAAAAGAAATAAATGCAAAATTATCTCTTCAGCAGAACTGCATATTACATAATTGAAATAAATAGCTGAGTGTGTCAGACCTCTTCTTCACCTTCCTCCCAAGTACAGAGATCTTAAAGAAAAAACCCCAACCTAGAGGCAAGAACGTAGACTAAATGTTGAAATAGATAACAAATAAAACACCCGTAGTTTCATTGCCTTGCAATACCTTAAAAACAAAGTGCTCTTGAGGAACTTATGAATCATAGTGTAAGGTTAGGTAAAAGAACACTGAGGGCACAGTATTAATTATCTATCAAATTTTGGAATAAAGCCTCTTAGAGAAGGAGATACGACATTCTTTCCAGGCTGACTGAAAAGATGGAATTTTTGAAGCAAACACCTCATTTTTATGTAAATGGTTGCACAGGAATGATTCTGGAGGTAACTTTGCAAACAAGTCAGGGTTTTAATTCAAAGGTGCATGTTCTGTCAGTTACTTAGAGTAACTGCTTTAAAGTTTAATTCAGAGCTCCAAACACCGAATGTGACCTTGTGGGAAGATGTAGCAAGTCTGTGTGTGGTCAGGAGCTGTCTTACTGCCGTACACTAATGCATTGCCTGCTGTGATGGCTTGCTTTAAGTAGAGGTCCTCAAACAGAAATCTTTTATCTATGCAGATTTTAAATTGTGTATTACATGCTAGGAGATGAGTGCTCCTGCCTCCCCGTCACTCTAGGGTTATTGAAGGGGGGATTTAGAAGGGAGTCTTAAAAATGTATAAGCACAAGAGAAAGTGCTAGAATTGCCTTTTGGAGATTAAAATACTGCCTTTTCGTCAGCTGAGGGAAGAGCGACCCAGCGTGTTTGGCTGCAAAAGAAAACTTCTGGGTGATGTGTACAGCTTGCAACTTTAGATGGCTTTTAACCTGAGTCAGCTGCTTAGGTATCATAAATTGTAGCAGACAATCCATTTCATACAGTAGTGTTTAAACATATTTTCTATTTATTGTTCTCACTGCTTTTAAACAAAGAAATTAAAAAATATCAACCCATGGATACATACTCGTCTGGTTTGAAAGGCCCTGTGTCTGTATAGCTATGGATGAGTACATTCAAGCAGAGCCTGACTGTTGTTATGACGATCTTTTCACCTGGTAGGTAAGAAATGTCCAGGAAGAACTCCAACAAAGAAAATAATTAAATTTTGCTACAGCTTATTCCCTCCTCACTTTGTTTCACATGCTGTCGTAAGTCCTGCATTAAAAACACCCATCTGGCCCAAGTATGCATGACTTGTATGTTGCTCACTGCTCTCTAGCAGTTTATTTTGGATGTCAGAAAACTTGAACCCAATTGACCTACCTATTTTCTGCAAGAATCTTAAATGTTAATCGTACAATAATTTCTCTGTAAATAAACTGTTAATGTAGACTGAAATATATGCTGCACTATCTAGGAGAATGTTATTATAATTTAGAGAATTATTATTTTTTTACATGAAAAATATAGAAAAAACAGTGAGGTGCTTGAAAATAACTAACTACATGTTCAGCATTTTGAGAACAGGTACAGAAAAAGTAGCTCAACAACATTTTGGAGACTTTAAAAATAAAAATTATTATTTTAAATAAACTTTACTTATGCCTGAGGTTTGTTTAAAGCAATTAACAATTTAGTCAAGTGAAACAATGAAAGCACAAGTAGAGCTATTGCACTTTAGTCATAATTAATGGATGTAATTAATTTACTATGTTACGTGTTCGTTAGGGAGAAAAAGCTATAATAAGATTCTAGTTTTGCTTGGACTCTTAATGCTAGTTTTGAATTTACAGGCTTCGATCCATAAGGCTTAATATGCTGTGGCTGTTCACTTCTGTCTATTGATGAGATTCAGCATTGTGTTTAACAAAATTGCTTCATGTTTTTTTTGTGTTTGTTTTGTTGTGTGTTTTTTTTTTTTTTCTCCAGAGCACTTTGCTTGGAGCAGACTTATGTTTGTTCAGAATGACAATTGATGCTCTTGCAAACTGAATTTCAAAGGTGTGACTGTTTAGCCCATTTATGCCGCACCCGTACTCTCACAAAATGAGATGCGCAGATGGCATGTGGTTACCGAGTTACATAGCCACATAAAGCTTTGGCAAAACCACAATGCATCCGTAAATAACCCCGGAAATAGAAGGTGAAGTAGCGTAAGATCTTCAATCACTGCCTACGCACAGTGGATCACATCTCCTTCTAGTGCTCTGCTCACAAATGCATGAAGTGCATGCTACTAATCGGTGCATTAAACATGAATAAGTTCCAAGTCCAGTGACATGATTTGTTATCTGCCAAAGTTTAAGGAAAGCAGTGTTTTATGCAAGCATTGTTAACTTATTTTGCAGCAAACCTAAATATCTGTGTTCCTGTATTTATGAAGGAAAATGCAAAACATGAACGGGGCATGTAATTATCTTTGCTTTCCGGTGTTAACCATGTGCAAAGATGTTCTAGAAAGCAAAATGTTCTGAAACTAATTTATTCTTGAAACCCATTACTTCCTTGGAAGTATGGGGAAAGGAAAATTAAACCCAGTCTGTGTGCTGTTAAACTGTTGGAGCCACAATAACTTAACTGAGGTGTTACGTATTTTGCAGATTGTAAATCTGAACATACGTATAAAATTAACTGAAATCCATAACCAAAGTACTTATAGTATTTTTCCTGTATATAACCCACAACTTTAAAAAAAAAAAAATAAAGTCCTTGAACATAAATCCTAGGTAATCTGTCCTCAAGTAACCTATGCTAAATGAGAGGTGGAGGCTGGAGAGGATCAAGAACATTGCAGGTTACAGTGATCCAGCTCACGGTCAGGGGTTTCTGAACTTAATTTCACCTCATAATACCCACATAATAATATAATCTGCACTTCCTGAATTGCTGTCCTGTTTTGGGGTCTTTTTTCAGAGACTTCTTGCTGGTTATGTTGTTTTTAATACGGTGTTTTCAATTAAATTTGGTCAATGATGAAGTACAGTTAGGCTAAAATACAAGTTAAAGTCCAGCATCTGACTATAACCCTCTGCTATATAAATTAAAGAGCAAACCAGGTGCTCACTGATCAGTGGTCAGCTCATCAAAGGAAAAGTGAATTGGCAATTTCATGTCTATTCAGATAAACTTCCATCCTCTTTTCTGAACAGGAACACCTGATCGAAAATGAAGTGTCTATTCTGCGGCGAGTGAAGCATCCAAATATCATTATGCTTATAGAGGAAATGGACACCCCAGCAGAACTCTATCTGGTGATGGAGCTGGTCAAGGTAAGACTAAGGAAACTTGTTTTTTTTCCCAAATTCTCTGGGTTGGTGTGAAATCTGAGAAGAATCTAGTAACATTAAGATGTAGGGAGACATAATGAGGTAAGATTTCAGTGGCAACCTCCATTTTTAATTAGGCAAATGTTCTTGTCTATCAATTAATGGAATTTATGTCTCTTCAGTTGTAATTTCACTACACAAATTTGGGGTAATTTTGTGGTGTGTGTAGTCTAGAGAGAAGTGGGTAGCGTTTTTTATATCATGTTTACAATATATGGGGGTAATAGTGATATGTATTTATTGACAGAACACCTACATTTTTAATAATTTGCATTAAAGAAACAAACTCTTTTTAATGATTTGTCTTAGTAAACAATAGATACAACAAATAGTTTAAACTATTTTAAACTAGTTTAAACTACTTTATGTTCCAGCAGAATTAAAACTCAGAAAAAAAGACGTTTTTCTTATATCAAACATTTATTCACCGTATTTCCAATTCATCAGAAAACATACGCTGCTTTCATACCTGTACAGAGAAAACCAAACAAAAAAATCTTGACTTTGCTGTCACCTTCTGAACCAAATACACAAGTTGTGTCATGTTTTAGTTACGCACTCTCGCCTGTTTTCTGTACATAAACAGCAACACTGCACATCAACTTGATTGGCATATCAGATACAAATAATATGTATCATCGTCATCACTTGTTATTTCTATCTGAAGCATTGTTAGATTCAAGAGTCCCATCCAGAATGGCTGCCAGCCTGGCAAACATCTAAAGTCTGTAGTTGTTGAATTTATAATTTCTGTAGCCTACCCATTTCTCTTCCTTTCTAGAAGTTATTTTTACATAGTAGAGACTTTTTTTAGTTTTAAGACACTGGTGGATTTTTTATATATTTTAATACACCACTATCTTGGCCTATATTTCCTGAATTGCTGCTTCTCTTCCACATATACTGAAATGCTTGGAATGCCACCTCCAGCCCAGACAGATCGCTCCTACAGATGTATCCCAGGGAACCATCATAGAGACACCTACGTAAAATTTGTTGCAATGACTGGAAATGGCACCAGTAACTTGCTTACATGTTATGTATTTCAGAAGGAATAGGGCATCCCTAATCAGAAACTGCACAAGCGGCACTTTCAGAAGAAGTCACCTGTAGGTTCTGCGCTTTGGTGCATCATAGAATCATTTAGGTTGGAAAAGATCATGTTGTTTGTCCTCTTCAGCTATATTTATCTGATATTTCTGCAATATCTACAGAAATTCCAAATTGCATCTCATGACAATTGCTGAATATTTGTTATGTTAAGCTTTTTATTATTGGGCTAATTTATATTACTTGAGGCTTTACTCAAATCAGGGCTGGTTTGTGCTATGTAAAGATATTTTATTGATGTGATGAAGAAAAGGGCAACTATATGCCTGTACTTGGGGGTGATACAAATGAGTGATCAAAGATCAGCAGAATGAAGTGGAGACAGAGAAGAGCTGTGATTTGCCCAAACTCAGACACCAGAAGAACTGTTTAACAGGCATTTGGGCATGCCTTTTGCAAAGGAAGATTTTGTGTGGCATTTTTTATGAAATAGCATCTTAATTATTGTTCCTGCAGTGATCTCTTATCTTTTCATTACTTTAGGGAGGAGATTTATTTGATGCTATCACTTCTTCTACGAAATACACAGAGCGAGATGGGAGTGCAATGGTCTACAACCTAGCCAGTGCGCTCAGGTACCTTCATAGTCTCAGCATTGTGCACAGAGACATCAAGCCAGAAAATCTCCTGGTACGTCCCATTTATTTCCTAATATTTTCTCTTACTTTGTTCTCATTAATGCAAATTCTTGTATATAAAGGTCAAGGAGCTCAACAAAGAACAGCAG